TATCACCCTTATTCTTCATTTTCAACTAAATATATCCAGTATTGGGATTTTTTACACCATAGCAATTCAGTATCACCATCTCAGATATTTCCAGTAGTAAAATATTTTTATGTTATATTCTATATCATTCAATAGCTCTTATGTTTACCACATTCTCTAGTAATTTTCATTACCATGTTTTTTTTGTCTAACCATGAATAAAATAAATCCCAAATCCTATAAAATTGTTTATCTTCTTGTTCTCTAACTTCAAATGTCAATTTACTCATTTCAGCACATTCCATTATCTTATACATAACTTCTTCCTGCGTTGGTATTTTCTCATTTCTCCAATTTTTAGCAAATACAATTTTAGCTGCTGTTAACACATTTACAATCAAATATTTCAATTCTCTATTGTATGTTTCCGGTAAAATTCCCAATAAAAAGATCTCTGGTTTAAAGTCTATGTTTTTATGTATCATTTTCTCTAACCAAGTGTGGATTTTAGTCTAGTATCTTTTAGCTTCTATACAAGTCCACCACATATGATAATATGAACCTGGTATCTGATGACATTTCCAGCATTTTTTGGATTTGTTCTTGAACATTCTTGCTATTCTTGTGGGGGGGGGGGGCTTCAATAAAAGCCAGCTTGTAGGATTAATGTTGAACCGGAAGGAAGGTGATCATGTATAAAGGCTAAGTTACTTTTATTGTACAGTGGTACCTTGGTACTCCGCTGTTTTGAAACTCATTAAATTTGGTACTCAACACATTTTGATGTGGAAATTTTGTCCTGGTACTCATTGTTTGTTTAGTACTTAAAGCACAAGCTAGAACTTGTTGGTGTTGGCTACCTTGTGACTCATTACATCATTCCTTACAGGAAAAAATTGTTTAGAAGTCATTGTTTTTGGTATTCATTGCATTTCCCAGAATGAATTATTGATGAGTATTGAAGTATCATTGTACCCCGGGGGTGATATTGAGATAAGACCAGTGAGTGAGGAATAAAACCAATGTTTAGGAATTCAAGACTAGTGTTTATTAGCCCAGTGTTTTGTTTGGATGATTTTGCTGTTTATTAAATTATTTTTAATCTAGGCTGTCTATCTAATGTTGGATTTTGTGATATTTCTAGTTTTGTATGTCAGTCCACAAGTCCATTTGAATTGGGCAGTTAATAAATTTAAAATAATGATGATAATAACAATTATGATGATAATATATTTTAGCTTTGCATCTGGGAATTCTGAATGTAGAATTATTATTACATTTCCGGTCTACTGAAGATTATTAGAGTAAAATAAGTCAGAACTTTTTTGACTCTAAGCCGTATCTGCAACATACGCAAACTTGAGATCT